AACTTTAAGCCCCCAAATTGATACCTAGAACTCATATAATCCAGGCTGAAACTTCAATGCAGTACTGGGGTTCTGCATCGTTGGGGGTGTTAATCCAAGGCCCAGTCTGTCCGTTTAGATTGATATTAACGATGCCATGGCACTATTTGAAAAGAGAAGGGAATCTCTCCTGGTCTCCTGGCCAATTATCCTCCAGATAAAATTAGTTGTATACTTCATGGCTATTTGTGGGAGAGTGCTGTGTGCAAACCAGCAGGCCCACTTGTCTATTAAATACACATCCACTACACTTTACAGTATATCCTGAGAAACACTTTGAGATATCCTCCCAAATGCAAAAGGAGTTTTGTCAGATTTAGGATTATTATTAGAATTGTTAAAGTGCTTTGCAAAGGCTAAGCAGGGGTTTGAGCTGTCAAGAGAGCTGGAGGAGATGGCCAAAATTAGTCTTCAGGTGGCATTTGAAAGCAGAGGATGAGGCAGCAAGCCAGAGGGATTCTAAGGGAGAGCTCCAGACGGCAGAGGCCAAATGGCAGAAGGCTTGCCTTCACCACTGATAGTCGGATGGAGCAGATGGGGGCATGAAGCAGACTAGAGTCGGCAGAGCAAAAGGAGTAGCCAGTAAATGGTCACAGGAGACCACAGAGATGGGATAGCGCAAGGCCATGATTAATATAATAATCAGGGCCCTTGGATGCTCTCCCGACGTGAAAGGCGCTATACAAATGTAATCTTGTTGTTGTAATCCTTGCATTTGATATAGCGCCTTATCACATCTTCAAGATGTCTCAAAGGGCTTCACAGGATATACTGTAAAGTGAATTAACTGTAGGCGAAACTTGGCAGCCAATTGCACACAGCAGTGTTCCACAAACAGTCGTGAATTATTATAAGGAATTATTATACCCGGAAAAGCAATCTGCCAACAGACTAACAACAGAGTTCCTATTTATTGCTTGGTAAACAGAGGCATGTGGAGTAAGCAAACTTACCCAGTGTTTCGCTCTGCCGGGAATCGAACTCGGGTCTCTCGCTTGAGAGGCAAGTGCTCTAACCACTGAGCTACAGGTCTCCACCTCCAAGGAATAAACTTGAAGATGGGAATGAGGATTTTCAAGCTAAACCACAAGAGGAGAGGGAGCCAGTGGAGCCAGGCCAGGATAGAGGTGATGGACTCGCATAACTTTGTGCAGGACAGAATATGGACTGTGGACTTCCGGATAGTCTAGAGTTTGGAGTTGGGAGGTGAGCAAGTAGGGCATTAAAACATTTTGTTTTTAGGTTTGATTTTAGGGAGCCAGACCAGGAAAAGATAACGCCTAACAACTCGGTTGAAAATCTATTACAATAGCCACTGGGTACGTTGTCACTGTAACAATCGCTATAACAAATGGGTCATGGATTTTTGAGGTGTATTTTAAATAAGGGATTTTTTAGATACACAACAATCACAACAATTTGCATTTATACGTCGCACTTCACATGTGGCAACATTCCCAACCGGCCATTATTTTTTTTCGATGAAATAAAATATTGTATATTTTGATGGCGAGAAATTGGAAGGTCACCTATCTCGTTAATAACAATTATCTTCCCTTTACCTGTCCAGTAAACTGGAATCTCAACATAAAATGGCCTGCCTATATTGTACTAATATATTAACTGAGATTATGAATTTAAATTTAATCGACTGGGTAGCAAGAAATGAGCGAACAAGTGAAGTTGCTTAGAACTATTCATGTGACAGCGATAAAAATTGATGCTCATTGTTCCCATTTGATTGTCTGACACTTGCTACATGATTTGTAGAGAATTAATACCCGGAACTATAAGGCAACACTATTGTTCAATCCCACGAATGTAAGACGCACCACAAACTACAAGACAAACATTTGTAGAGATTTTAAAATATTGGCAACCATAAAAATGCGAACACATGAATGCAATTCAGTCCATAGAAACAGAAGTAGACTAATTCAGCCCCGAGTGTCTGTTCCGCCATTTTATAAGATCGTGGATGATCTGTACCTCAAGTCCAGTTACCTGCCCTTTTACCCTGAATTGCTTCATAGCCTGATCTAACAAATATCTATCTACCTCCGTCTTGAAAATGTGAATGGATCCAGCATCCACAGCCTTTTGCGGTAGAGAGTTCCAGATTTCCACTACCCTTTGGGTAAAAAAACTGCCTCCTAATTGCTCTCTTAAATGGCCTGGCTATAATTTTAAGAATAACACCCCCTTGATCTGGATTCCCCTACCAGAGAAAATAGTTTTGTCTTCCCGCATCATTTAATTTGCAGTATATGCTGTGAAGCGCTTTGAAAAGTCTCTAAGACGGGAGCTATATCAAATGCAAGGATTATTATTATTATTATTATTATTTGGAACTCCCTCCCCCTCCCAGGTTGGCTGAGCTTCTATTCCATTGCTTCACTAATGTTTTTAATTTTTTAAATGATATCAAACAATATTCAATGCGTTATCCAGAATGAAAAAAGAATGAACAATGTGCTATTTGTGTTGCAGCGATCTGCAGTTTATAACTCCTCACTTCCCTGTGTAATAAGGAAGAAAGGAAAGATTCAGTCCACTGATTTAGGTCACATCCATATCGGGCCCAACTTCAGGTATCCACTGAGAAAGAACGAAGCACACCAATTAAATCGAATAAGCCTAATGGGAATATACATTGACTTTTCCTTCTTTTTAAAAAAAAACGTTTAAAGTAACTTTACTAATTAATCTGGTTTGGGCTATGAAAATTGATCAGTAAAAGAAAATTTTTTCTCCAGACACTCCCTCCCAACTCATGGTTTCTCAGCTGGTGCAGAATGTGTTCACTGTAATCCTGTTAATTGACACGAATCACACGCTCAAAAGATGATCGTTGAGCTTTGCAACAGTGCAGAAACATCAGTGTAGTAACCGTACAGATATGCTATTTCAAGATGCCAAGTTTGTTACTTGGTGCAATAATCACATTCAGGGGTACCGATCAGGGTGAGGAAGTAATATAGAATTGTACTGTCAAGTGTTTGCGACACCAGTAGATCAAACTTGTTTTAGATGTGTACAAAAATAGTGAATCCCAATTCTCACCAAATTTACCTGCAATTCCTTGCATCAAATTCCTTCACTTAGTTCTTTTTTGACGGGGATATACCCAAATTTATTTTAATCCTTAAATTAGATTAGAAGCACCTTTGACGTCAGAATGCGTTGAAGCATAGCAGAATTTATTGTTTCGGTAAACTCAGCCAATTTAAGTACAGCAATGTCCCACAGCCTTGAATAATAAATGCTAGACCAAAAAATAGACCATATGTCCCGAACTACCCATGTACTATATCCCATAATGTTCTAAGTTGGACAGTTCTCACCAATAGCACCATCACTCCATATTTTGTGGATGAATCGCAAGTCAATTGCACACAGCAGTGTCCCACAAAGTTGTAGATTGAGTGACCAAATTATTATTTGGAGGGAATATTACTCCCAGAAAGCGATCCACCCATCGACAAACAACTGGGTTCCTACTTACTACTAAATAAGAACAGGTGTGTGAAGTAAGGAAACTTGCCTAAGGTTTTGCTCCACCGAGAAATTGAACCCAGGTCCTCTCGCTTGTGAGACAAGTGTTCTAACCAACAGTGGGAATTATTTAGTATTCCAAAAATGTACTTTTGAAATCCGAAATGCCTGGAAAACAGAAGTCTTTGGGCTTCACCGAATCCGTGGGAGCGAAAGACCAATTTTATTTAGATAATTTTTGGCTAGGACACGGACAGAAACTCCCTCATCACTTCAAATAGTGCCATGAGATCTGAACATCCACCTGAACAGACAGGACCTGTTTAATGCCTCCAAAACATGGCTCATTAGTGTCAACATAGACAGACTACGTGAATTCAAAAGTGAACTCATAATCTAAGTTGCTGAGATCATTACTACCAACTCAGCCAAGCTGACAGATTTTAAACAATCCATATCCCCTTTCTGCTAATGATCATTCAACCAACTCAGCGCCCTCTAGAAACAAATAAATATTGGAGCACAAATGCCAGTTAGAGTACTGGAAGTTTCACATTCCACAACAATTATGGAAGTTTATTATCCAAGTGAAAGAAATGTCACTATGGGAATGGAATTTGGAGCATTTGTTAAGAGTTAGAGCAAAACATTCAAATACCCAAAACAATGACGAGCGAGAAGGTTGCTATAACTGCCAACTTTTGTTCCCAGTCTCGACTGTTAATATTGGGCAAACTCTACAATTAAAATATTGGGTTAAATATCAATAAAAAAATGCATCACCCAACAGCAGCACATTGCCAACTGTGGCCAAGCAGCAAGTAAATTGGTTTTAGACCCTCCTCCTACATGCAACAGGAAGCTAGTACATTCCTATCAAAAGGATAGTTTGTTCTAACTGTATTATGGCTGTGGTATGCAACCAAGAACTCTTAGGATTAATATTTTACTATCCATCTTCTGTAAATGGCTTGAGGATCCATATTGCCCAAGTGCAGCAGTTAAAAAAAACTTATATTTAAAGTGTTTTGTGTTTCACTTGCCATTTCCAGCGGCTTGGGACGTCCTCCTGACATGAAAGGCTCTATACAAATGTAATTTTGTTGTTCTCAAAATTAGCCTTTGTGTTGACTATGGATTTACGGACTAGAAGTCAAGTAATTCAACATGGACCAACTATAATAGAGCTCTCCAAAGAACACAAGCCTCAAGTTAGAAGCTCAAATACAATTTCATTTGTAAAATGTTAATGTATTATAAATGGCTACAGTAACATGCCTGAGTTCTTTTGAATCTTTACTAGTTTAACTGTCCTGTTGAGCACAGGGAATCTGTAGCTGTTGGCAGCATGAAGGGATTGGCAGACACTAAAATCGTTTCAGATACTGCTCACAATAAGTTTATTGCAAATCTCCATCACCTTGGTACACAGATACCAAGACAAGTACAGGATCAACCACATCAGCTTTTGGGTAAATTGTAGTTTTATTGGAAAAAAATATACAACTTGGAATGGATTTTAGGCACATCTGTGCCAAAGCAGATTTCAGAAAGAACCAAGTGGCTAAAGAAAACGCAGAAAGAGCATGGTAAGAAAACAAGAATGCTTCCTTGAATGGAACTGCAAATACAAAAAAAATTAGTGTACGAGTACCTGGATGATACACCCGTTTTGCTATAGTGCAATGCTGAGAAATTTTTAAGCTTTCTGTCCTTATTCCACAGAGTTATTAACTCTGCATTTAAACAGCAACATGAGACATGCTGATACTCGACAGCCAGCTTCCTCACAGCAGGCATTACCCAGATGATCCCTTGTCAAACCACAAGTCCTTATGTAGCTTTGAATGTGTAGAAGAGCTTGGATGCACTTCAAGATAAAGCCACATGCAACTTTGTTACCAAAAGTCTCGTCTCAAATGCAAAAGAAAACAATGACAATAAGATATTGAAGAAAAGTAACATGAAAGGACTGTAACTCTACCCACTATACATGCATAATGTTTTAGACAGGTGGGGCAGGGAGAGAAACATTTTACAGATAAATTACAAACAAAGGAAAGGCAAATAAACAATGTTTGTTTTATACAAGAAAATTAAAACGCTCTGTACAAGGTCTTCACTTTGCAGTCATCATTTGTACGAACTCTGTGAAGAGAAAATTGAAATGTTACACATGGAAAATAAAATTAATTAAACTCCAATCCCATCAAACATACCCACCTCCAATTACTATATACATGGGGAGCATATTCCTAACTGGCACAATACAGGTATATTTATCCAGGTCAAAATTCTCTAGATGAAAAAAGCTTACATTCAAAATTAAAACTTCTCTCTCAAAAACATAGTTAAGTTCAAAAAGCACTAACGAGCCACCAACACCTTTCTACATAAAGAACATCAGTCCGATCCAGCTCTGCTTTCTTGCACTGATGCACTATTTACAGCAGGTGTCACAGGGCAGGAGGCATTCAGGAGCCAGAAAATCTCCCACCATCACCAAGGCTATTTAGAACACCCCCCTACTTTAGCATCAATGCTTAAACCACTTGGTCAGAAAGACGAGGTAAAGCTCCATATCAGGAGCACAATTCAACCTCGCTTCATACTCGGGTGCAGCACTGCAATTATGAGACACCAATTTGCTGATTAAACTGTTCCGATGGATGTTCCACCATTCAAATTTGAAAAGCAGCCACCTGGCACCTTGGCCAATCTCTCTCCCCCGATCCAAAAGAATTGCTGTTTGTGCAAAACACAGGTGCGGATTAGACACTAAGTTTACCCACACTACAAACTAAAGTTGTGAAACAGTGAATTGTGATAAATGTAAGAGACCATTCAGGCTTTTGCAAGCCTATGTCCTAGTATTGCTCTGGGCCTTGCTTTTGCCAACTCAGCTATCAGCATGCTGCTATTTTAAGCAGTACACTCGCAGTAAATGTATCTACTCAGTTGCCAGTATAATAATCATGCAGTTTTCAAAATAACTAAGTGAAAAAATGATGCATTGGTAACCAAACACCATGTGCAACAGAACTCAGGTGCAGTACTGTAATTTTTGTGATCCCCAAAATCATAAATAATAAACCGAAGTAGACACTTGGAACGGTATGAGAGAATTCAGATAAAACAAATATGTTTGCCCCCAAAACAGTCACCACACCTTACAGTATAGCATGTGAAGCGCTTCAAGAAATCTTCCTGACTTGAAAGATACTATGCCAAAGCGCAAGTGTGATTACACAACCTCAACAATGAAGCAAAGTCAATTTTTTTTTAAAAAATGAATTAATTTAATGTTCCTTTTAAGCATACGAGCGGCCCTTGTAGAAAACAAATCCAGAAACTGCACATGGTATTGTCAGGCCAGCAAAACTAGGTTTTGGTGTGAACCACCACCTCATTGTTTTGTCAAGCAACATCACAATGCTGCTAAACATTAAAGTGCTCTGGAACACTGCCCCGAGTGAAGGGGCTATATAATTCAAGCTGTTGTAGTAAACTACAAACAGATAATGTATATACTTTGAAAATGCTGGTGGTTACAACATCATGGTGGTGCAGCACAAATTACAGTACTGCACTTGAGTTTAAGTCTAGGTTATGAACTTGAGCTTTAACCTTACCTCCATCCTAAAAATAATGTTGACAGGTAATTTGATGCATTATAGAATTCATTGAAATAGAAGTGGTTACATAAACTTGCAGATTCCTTGAGCAGCTGAATCCATGCTAATTATTTGTGTGGAAATCCTACAATAATAATAAAGGGCACTTGGAGCTTAAGACGTCATTTGGAACTATTTTCTGGGCACTGAAATCAAGCTGGGATGCGTGGCTCAATTTGTTTTTAAGCCAAGCATTGATGCTCTTTTTCAAAGGATTCCATGCACCAATGCACAAACTCCACCATTGGTTTAAAGAGGAGTATCAGGTGACAGCTACAAATGCTGCCTGGCAGCTCCCAGGGAAAAACCAACCAGTCAGTAGCATTTCAAGAATCAAACCAATTTAATAAAAACTACTAGAATTTTTTTTTCTACTAGATTCCAGTTAAAAAAACATTTACTTAGATAGCAAGTAAAGAGCATTTCCAAGTGTCTGCAGTATAATTTTAATAGTGCAGGCAGCAGCAGAGAAGTGCCTCCAGTGGTACAGTACAGTACTTTAGCTGCTGGTAAGCTATGCAGTCAGCACGACTACTGGTTAAGTTATCAGGACTGAGATCCAATAGCCAGGAGTCAAACCACAACTTTCAACTGCAGTTTGTTTCTCCAGGCTGTGGTATCCACCCTGGAATGTAATGGTACGCTTGTCAAAAGGAGCACAAGGATTTATAGAACTATTTCTGTTTGAAGCAATTCTAATGAACTGAATCCAGGCCATAAAAGTGGCAATATTTAATGGCTTTGGAGTTAATGATTTACCACCAACCAAGGACTAGGTCAATAAATATGCCATCAACATGCTTGCTGGTTGATCACAACTAAGCGGGAATCAGTTACATTATTTACTCCATATCTGACCTGGACACAGTTCTATTGTTACAAAATAGTAGTAATTAAGTCAACTGACACCACATCCATTAGACACAGAATGAAGACTGCAACTTCTCAAAACATCTCAGAAAGCATTACCATATTAGTGATGTTGGTTTACAATACATGTATGAATCTAGCTTATATCAGATAGCATTGGCCTGCACAATGCTTGCAATAGTTTAACAGGCTTTAGGGAAAGTGGCCATATTCTAGATATAGTGACCCAAAACTGGGCCTTCCTCAATATTAGGGCTAAACCTACCAGGTAATGGAAGGGCATCGAATTTGAAGCTGAAGCTGGGTAAGAATGATAGTTACACTCATCTCTACAACTATTTAAATTGGTTAAGGTACAGAAAATGTGGTTAGCAAATAAAAAAAAATTCAAGTTTCCCAGCTACCGAAACAATCGGAGAAATCAGTGATAATTTGTCTCCCAGGTGCAGTGATGCAACACAGGTTCATAGGTGCCTTCCCTTTACACGGTAAGGGGAAAATGGCAAATTAGTTATTTAGATTTAATACTACTCAAATACCAAATTACTCAAGAACTATATTTAACCAAAAATTATTGCATGGTTACCTTCACGAAACACAATTACTTAACTGGGCTTATAAGGTATCATACTAAATATCTCACAAAAGCAAAATGTCCTAATAAATTATTCTCTTTGTACCCACACAAATTTTGCTTCTATTACACTTTCTATACAAAGTAACTGATACATAGTCCCTCTCTTAACATGAATTGGAGGTGTATAATGCTGGAGAGATTGCAAGTGTTCAGAACTGCAGTTCACAAAGACTTACGCATTTGGCCTTTTACGCATTCCATGACACGGTATTCTATGACTGTAGATCTCTGGTTAGCTAAAGCACTACACTGTGTCTAACAAAAAGTGACCCACATATACTGCAAGTGGATTGCTTGATGTGGAATACAGGAAGCCACAAACAAGAGATCTACCTTCACAAAATGGCAGTTCAATTGAGTGCAGTCATTTGGTTACATTTGACCAAAGCCATAACAATTTTTTTTAATATAGAAAATCTCTCATGTTGAGTTCTCATGGGTCCAGACATTTTGTTAAGGAAATGGCATAAACAAAACCTACCTTCATAGTTCACTTGACCATCACCATCAATATCTGCTTCTCTGATCATTTCATCGACTTCTTCATCTGTCAGCTTTTCTCCGAGGTTTGTCATTACATGACGGAGTTCTGCAGCACTGATGTAACCATTACCATCCTAGAAAGGAAAATATTTGGTGGCATATGAAACATTTTACTTTCTGTAGATAACAGTGAAACATTAATAGAATGCATGCATATTGTCATGTTTTGCTTCAATACCTTATCAAACACTCGGAATGCTTCTCTAATTTCTTCCTCACTATCTGTGTCCTTCATTTTCCTTGCCATCATTGTCAAGAATTCTGGAAAGTCAATTGTTCCATTTCCTGCCAAAGAAATTAAAGTAGGTAAAAAACAAATCCCACTTCCTTCCACGAGACAGCATGGGCTTGATGGCTGAATGACCTCCTTCTGTGCAATAGATTTCTCTGTTTTTATTTATTAGTTTGCTGAAAGTGTTACAGGACTTACACACTTACCATCAGCATCAACCTCATTGATCATATCCTGTAGTTCTGCCTCAGTTGGGTTCTGTCCTAGTGACCTCATGACTGTCCCAAGCTCCTTTGTAGTTATGGTACCATCCCCATCTTTGTCAAACAGAGAGAAGGCCTCTTTGAATTCTGTAATTGGAAAAGGCACAATCAATAAGAAGCCAGTAAAACACAGCACATAGTCACAATGCATATCCACACCTAAGTGACATTTGTACAATCTGCAACATTAGAAAAACAAGTACATTTTACTTACAATGTTACATAAGTCAACTGAAACAATCACTTGCGCAGCCTTAATGCATCACGTAACTATCCACAAACTTCTGAACAGAAACTAGCTACAAGTCACATCTAACAAGCATAAAAGCAAAAGTTAACCCTAATTTAAATATTGCTTTCAACTAAACCAGCAGTCAAAACGACATGATTTGACCAAAATTTGTGATTCAAATCTCCCAATGCGAAGCCTAGAACAGGAGCTTACAACTTAGGTGAGTTCAATTAGGCAGTTATGACGGACTATCCATTAACTCAAATACAGGCACAGTAAGAGACTATAAAGACCACCAAATGGCCTGCTAGAGCCGAAAGTATGAAAATAGGGACATTAAAAACAGATCTGAGCACTATAGCAATATGGCTTTATATGACTGGCTCAGGTGTACCTTTGCCTCTTTGCTGAAAGATACAAGCATATTATTTCACCCTTACACAGAATAAAACCTTTCCTCAACTGCACTATGATAGCATCTGATCAACAGGGTATATTAATCTCAAAACGCACCTGCATGAGTAGGGAAAAATTTCCATAATATTTCACTTATTGTGCTATTCTGAATATTCAGATCGGTATTCAAGAGTGATTTGCAAGTCTATACAACAAACTTCATAAGAGTGATTGACTTAGTGAGTAAATTTATATTTTCAAAAACAAATATGGTAAAATTAGTAACTTCCATTACACTTACTAGAATAATTGTAGTTTCACCACATAAATTTCATTTCAATTAAGACATTCAATTTAAGTTCCAATTTGCACAGCAAACAGACAACAATCAAAACCTATTTGAACCTTCAAAAAAATCTTGTGAAGACCACAAACTTCAGTATTAAGATACATAACCAATTTTGTTTACAACTGTTAACTTACTTTATTTAGCCACACCAGCAAAAACTCCAAAAACTGAACCATAAGCCCCACCCAAGATAAATGAACAGCAAATAAGGTTTATGCCCTTATCCTTAATCCTAAAATTAAAAAGTTTACAATTTAGTTTACTTACCAGCAATCTGCTCTTCTGTTAGTTGATCAGCCTAAAGAGAAAATTGTATAACATATTAAACCATACACAGGAAGTGCATCATCAGAAGCTCATGTATTAATTTAGAAAGTCATGAGGTAAATGGGGCTGGAGCTTTTAGAGAATCAGCACAAACACGGTAGGTGGGACAGTATATCTCTATGTTGAACAGTTAATTAAGTGCCAGTAATTCATGAGACCAGAAATATAATGCATCATACAGAAAGGTCACTTGCACATGCTATGCAGGTTACTTTAACATTTTAATGTGCAATATACAATTTCTGAAGGATCCAAAACATGGATTTGTCACCTTCATGAGGAATTCCATTAAGTGAACTGCTGAATCAGCAAACTGCACATAGCAAATATATGATCAGCTTAATATATCAAGAGACTATAATGTGAAGTATCTTAAATATGGGACTCAAATGTAATATCCTAACAGGATGTGCCGCCCCAGAATTGAAATGTCACCAAATAAGGCTATTCAGAAGGCCATAATCGCTTTTAGCACTTATTTAAAAGTAAAAGGTTGTCAGTTCATGGTACATAGTAAAAAAAGTCAAACAGCAGCATAGAGGCCTTCCACATTAAAGCAAATTGCAAGATACATTTGCACAAGATGGGTGACCAAATGGACACAATTCATTTTCTTCAAAATTTCCTGACAATTTTGAAATCACCATTTGGAATCAGAGTGGCTATAAATTAGAAACAAAATTCAGTGGAGCCAAAAATGTGGGAAAGCTACTAACCAGGGAGCAAAGGAGGGGCTCTGAATTCCAAAAAGATGACAATTCATTTCTCAGCAATGGGTGGATCTCTGTGCAACCTTTAACCTTCCCTTTACCCACCACAGATGCTATGCCCCACTTCTACCTTACCCTTCCACACGACAAAATAAAATCAGACGGTATCCCCACCAGCTACAATATAGGAAGCCGTTCGTTCGCAATCACAATCTAATGAATGCTAAAGCCCCCGTAACAAAATACGGGGGGGGGGGGGGGGGGGGAAGAGAGGAGTCGGGTTCAAGACACGAGTTGGGTGAAACTCTCTACAAGCATCACTCGTTGCCTCACATTTCTTCTGAACGACACCTCCGCCCCCAATTCCGCCCCGAGTCCAACTCGCCCCACAACCCAGCCCTTTTCTTGCTACATCCGCACTTTGCACGGCAGCAGGAAGTCTCTCCCTTTCGCCACCCCACTCGCACCAGTTACACCCCCTCCCCTTTGCCCCAGCCTTCCAGCACAGCTGTTCAGCGTGTCTTTTCACCTCCCCCCCTCCCCCCCCAAAAAAGGCAGTACTCTCCCCCAAAAAGGTTGAAACCAATGTTCGCAGACCCAGCCAGCAAATTCGTCCCCCCCCCCACACACACACCACCAACCCCATGCAGACAAGAAACTCAGCTCATAAAACAAACCAGAAACGCTATAGTTAACGTGTTACTTTGTGTGTGTGGTGGCGGCGGCGGTGGTGGTGGGGGGAAAGAAGAGAGATTTATTTCTGGGGGGGGGAAAAAAAAAGACAAAAGGTGGGCAATTACTTTTCCCAGACGACGTTCCCCACCTCATCCCCCCCAAAAATGCAATGGTTCAAAGCAGCCATTTCCCTCCTCTCTTCCTCCCACACCCCCCCCACCACACACAAAATGGGTCCAAAAAAAAAACGCCCCCTCCCCGAAGGCGCACAGCCGGACGCAATGCATTCTGCAAAGGGAGTGAAGACATTTTTTAAAGATGAAATAGCGCGGCCGGTGGTGTCGGGGAGGGAGGTGGGTGGGTTGTGTGTGTGGGGGGGGGGGGAAGGAGAGGAGCAGAAAAGAGTTCACGATACCGTCGTGGGGTGGGGTGGGTTTGGCGGGGAGGGCAGATAGCGGGGGGGAAAAGGGTGTGTGGGTGGGTGGGGGGGGAGAGAGAACAAAAAAAGAGAGATAATAAAAGTAAGGTGATGGGGAGGGGGTGATGGGGAGGGGGGAGCGCTGTTGGTAGGGCGGGAGAGAGAGAGAGAGAGCGGTTAAGGGCGCGGCGCTCGCGCTTCATAAACGGTCACAGGCGCCGCCGCCATCACCGCCGCGGGAAGGCGGCGACCACCCCCCACCCTCCACCCGGGAACCCCCGACGGCAGCCTCGCCCCTCCCCCCCACCCCCTCTCTCTCTCTCCCCCCCCAACCCCCCCAAAAAAAAAACACGCGCCGCACACCCCGCCCCGCGCGCCGAGAGAGCAACGCGACCCCAAACCGTGGTCTCACCGCGAGGAAAAGGTGCGTTTTTTTTTAAAAAAGAGAGAGAGAGAGAGAGAGAGCGTTCGAACCGCCATCAGCCAACGACAGACACTTCGCTCCACACACCCGGAGCCATTTGCTCAACATGAGGGAGAGAGGGAGAGAGGGGGACTTTGACTGACCGATCGGCCGGGGCCGAGTCGGGCCACTTTACCCTCCTCCATCCTCCTCCCTCCCTCCCCACCCACCCACCCACCCACCGCCCGCACAAGTCGCATCCAGTAACGACATATTGCAGCAGTTTCTGCTCCTCTTCCTCCTCCTCCATCATTACACGAGAGAGAGGGAGGGAGGGGGTGCGGTGCGGGTGGGGACGACGACGAAGTTAACCGACCGACTTAAGAGCTCCGTCTCCGCCGTCCGGTTTTGACGAAGAGGAGGTGAGGGAGAGGGAGAGGAGGATGAAGGAGGAAGGAGGGTGGTGGGGGGGGGGAGCGTCGTTATGGTGAGAGGAAAAGAACGGGTTAGTAGTTTTTTTTTAAAAAGAAAATGGTGGGAATTCCCCCCCTCTCCCCTCACGGGAGGGGGGGAAAAAAAAACAACCCCCCCGTCTGCGACGGTTTATGAGGTAAAGAAGAGGGGGGGGAAAAAATAATTTCTTTCTTTGTTCGTCTCAGGTCCTTCCTTTCCTTCCCTCTCACTCACTACTCCTTCGTGTTTCTTTTTTTTAAAAAAAAACCCCACCACCAACCCCCCCAAAAAAAAAAAAAATCCACGAGGAAAAGAGACGAGAAAGAATACGAGTTAGAGAGAGAGAGAGAGAGATATGAGAGAGAGACTCACCATAGTGGGTGGGTTGGGGGTGTGTGTGTGTATGTGCGTCCGTTGCTCACAGTCCGGTCACTCGCTCTGTCGCCGCGGAGCCGCCACTGACTATAAACAGCCCGCGCGCGGCAGCTGCTTAACTCCCCTCCCCCTCCGCCCTGTATCCCTCCGCTTGGCCCGACCCACCGGAGCGTTCCCCTCCAACCAACCAACCGCCGCTCCCTCCCTCCCTCCTCACAGGGGTTCCCCATCACCACCATCACCGGTTACCACCACCACCACAGCATCGCGATCAAATCTTTAAAGAGCCTTCCCCGCGGCTCGCTCCCCCCCCCCTCCCCTCCGTCCTCCATTCAGGAACAGACCTAATCACCACCTCACCCGCCGCCGCCGTCACCTCTTCCATCTCCAGCGGTGCACGGGGGGGGGGGGGACGAACTATTTTTTTTGTCGCGCGGAGGGGGCAAAGCCTTTCCCGCGCGGGCGCGCGCGCGGCGGCGGTTGGAACTCCCGCCCCTCCCTCCCTCCCTCTCCGCGCGCCCGCCGCGCCCCGCCCGCGCCCGCACGCGCACGCGCACGGCCGCCGCCCGCCGCTGATTGGCCGGGCGGTACCTGCAATGCGTCAAAACAAAGATGGCGGCGGTCGGGTCGCTTAGCGACGGCTCGGGGCCGCCCGCCCGCCCGCTGCCCGCCCCGGGCCCCGTTGCGATAGTAACGCGGCGAGATAAGGGGGAGAGAGAGATAGAGAAATGGAGGGAGGGAGGAAGGAAGGAAGGAAGGTAGGCAGAGAGAGAGAGAGAGAGAGAGACGGTAGCTGCGTGTGTGTGTGTATAAAGCTTGTGCTGCTGCGCGGCGCAGTGCAACGTTTGGACCAACATGGCGGAGGGCAGAGGAGGAGGAGGAGGGAACCGTCTCTCAGACCCACACGCCGCAGTGTATTGAGCCGTCGTCGTCGTCGTCGTTGTTATTACAGACTCACTCACTCGTTCATCTCACTCAGTAGTTTCCCAGCACTGTGTGTGTGTGTGGGGGAGTGGAAGGGAAAAACACTTGACTTGTGTTCCGCCCTTTTTTTTCGTCTCTCATATCTGGTTTTAAAACTTTTTTTTTGCGGTGGTGGGGGGTGGAAAAAAAAACACGTGCGCGATCGAGTGCTGCTGCTGCTGCTGGTGGTGGTGGTGGTGTCTGATCAAAGCGGCAGCTCGCTTGTTACTGTGTTGTTATAATAGTAATGATAATAATAATAATAGTCCTTTGCATTTGACATAGCGCTTTTCACGTCGGGAGGACGTCCCAAAGCGCTTCACAGAACACAGCACCGTAAAGTGAATTGACTGTATTTGTTGTTGTTGTTGTTGTTCGTGTTTTGGCCGATACCTGTGTCTTGTTGGGTCTGGTTTGATTGATATCTCTTCGGTTGCCCGTGCATTTACCGTGTTGGGTGGGGTGGGGTGGGGTGGTGGGTGGGGGGGATTTCATATCGAAAGGTCCGTAATCATAAATGTGTTGGCGTTGCAAGTCCTGGTCTTGTTGTAGCGTTTGGGGGTTGTGCGTGTGTTTGGCATTGATTTGAAGCACATGCATTTATTATTCTCTGCGTCTGTTGGGTCAATGCAGGACTTGTGCGGCAACTTCGCACTCTTCCCCCATTCGGTCAAGTCGCATTTACTTTGGCGCACTCCTAATAATAATAATAATAATAATCCTTGCATTTGATATAGCGCTTTTCACGTCGGGAGGACGTCCCAAAGCGCTTCACAGAACACACTGTAAAGTGAATTGACTGTATATTTGTGGGCGAACGCGGCAGCCGATTGCGCACAGCAATGTCCCACAAACAGTTGTAGATTGAAAATGACCAATTTATTATTGTTTTGGGTTTTTTTTGGAGGGATTATTATTATCGTTATCCTGTTAGCGGTGGGCGCCACGTTGTGATACTTTTCCCCAGTGATATTTCAAAATTGCTTCAGAGGTTTTTTTTATATATGTGGAAACACACTTCTGCGTAATTAGAACATTTAAAATAAATGCCTCAAAACGTTTTAAAAGTGAAGTATCCGATGTTTACACTGCAAACGGTGGGCCTAAGTTTCTAAGTGTGTTTGCAGCAAAATTATGGCTAACATCAACTTTTTTTTAAAAAAAATTAACGTCTCCTATTAGTATTCCCCAGGAATCTGAAACAGATGGACATTTATTTCTTTTATCCATTCCTTTATAACACGTGCTCGTCTGTCACTGCAGTCAGCATGTTTTAAGGGAGTAGTTTCACAGAGAATTGAGACTTGTCACTAGAAGATATATCCATCCAATTGAACAGCTATACATACCATGACTATGCTTTTAAGCACAACTATTTCAGAGTTGATCCGTTGCAATGGGTAGGTACAATGCACATGCTTGTTTCTGGACCAAAAATGTTAACTTTTTTGGGAGAGGGGGTAATATAGATTTTGAGAAGGTACACTCTTACCCATTTTTGTTTGCATTGGATACGACTATATTAGAATTCACGAGAAGAAGAATTAGGATGTGAGAAATATAATGCTTAGTACTTTATTACTGGTAGAGACATGAAAACGTACTTGCTTCCGATAACCGCATTTGAACTTTTAAATCATTATTAAAGCCAACAAACCCTGATCGTTTAATAGAACTGTCCCAAGACATCGGAAGACGCTCATTATATTAAATGATGCCTACATTATGCAAAATAGATTTCAGAAATGCATTATTCCTGATTCTTTGTGGGTGTTAGATTGTAGTTATAAAACTTACTATTTTGATAGATATTGAATTTAGATGGGAAATGCCTCAATATTGAGAGCGTCTTCAACGATTTAAAGGCCGCGGTTGTACGTAATAGTTTCATTTATTTTACAACCGTCAGCTTAGATGTACTTTAAATTGGGCAAAGTTAAGTTCTTGACAAATGATCCAGAAAAAAATGACAGAAACGACCCTTTTGCTTTTCAGGCTGTGCAACTACTGTTTTGAGAAAGGTATTTCCCTGCTCTCACTAGTTGCTCCGTCTTTGAATGAAATTCCTCAAAACAACCCCGCCTCTCACCACCCCAATAAAAAAAACTGTTTTGTGCCATCAGATCTTTTGTTCTTCCTTTCAATTATCTGAAGTAAGGTATTGTATGTACGTTCATGAATAATTAAACTGATGAGAGCTGACCTAGACTTTTTTTGTCTTAAGTTATCCCCGGACGCCTCGTGTGGTTTGGATTCGTTCTTCGTCTGCTGATTGATTTAGTCTCACAGAGCAATTGTTTCCTGACCAAGTCTTTCCCCCTTTTTTTTGCTAAAGCAAACCAGATACTGGGTGGCTGGAAAAGTGCTGTACCATTGAACCGATTTTGCTGTAATAACAATGTCGAGAGTTACTTTGCATTCAGCCAAAGTCAGACAACATTAATTTAAATTCCGACCATTTAATATATACCCTTCGGAGTCACCGATGAAGTGGACTGACTAATAATCTCTTCGCCTCATGATTCTGCAAGGGAACACTATAGGCAACGCTGAAAATCAAATGGCTGTCTTATTTATTAGTTTGCTTCAAGAGACTATAACAACCATACCCTGTCACAACTGTTTGATCTATTAAACGTCTATATGCTCTTCAAAAGACCTGTGTGCACTGGATTTCCAGCATAGAAAATATTTGCAATCTGTACACTGGCTTCATTTAAGATGGGTAGCGAATAAGATAAATTGCTTTTTTGGGGGGGGATGTGTGTGATAAACACACACCCAACAAAAATGCTTAACTCAGTGTGGGCTGCATTTGAGCAAAGTGGGTGAGGAGGGATGGCTTGTGATTCTTTTTTTATTTTAGAGTTCAAACGAGACCGGTCCTTCCATTGTCGCTTTATCGATTTCATCGATCATTTATTTACATTCGGAGTCGAAGCAAAAAAACTGAAAAATGTCGAATCACGAGAGGGGTGTCATGAGGACAGGAGGCCCCCAAAAGTGTTCATTTGAGTTGGTTTACTCATTTTTTTTGTGTGTGGGTGGGGGTTGACTCGTAAATACAGTGTGTGTGTATAGATATGTATTTTTTGAACTCAGGAATGAACTCTGTCTCTCTCTATGTCTCTCTCTCTCTCTCTCTCTCTCTCTCTCTCTGTGTCTCTCTCTCCTCTCTGTCTCTCCCTCTCTGTCTGTCTCTCTCTCTCTCTGTCTCTCTCTCTCTCTCTCTGTCTGTCTCTCTCTGTCTGTCTGTCTGTCTGTCTCTCTGTCTGTCTCTCTCTCTGTCTGTCTCTCTCTCTCTCTGTCTGTCTCTCTCTCTCTGTCTGTCTCTCTCTCTGTCTGTCTCTCTCTCTGTCTGTCTCTCTCTCTCTGTCTCTCTCTCTGTCTGTCTCTCTGTCTGTCTCTCTCTCGCTGTCTCTCTCTCTCTCTGGTTTGCTTTGTGAAGTTGTTGGGATGGTGTGAGTCAGTGGTGCAATGCAGTAACCAGAGGGGTGGAAACGGCAACACATGCGCAGAGCCGAGGGGAAAGTCTCGGCTGGTGTGAAAACACTCGGGACTTTCGTGGATCAGGAGTTTTTTCCGAGAGCAGAAGTGCTACAGACTGTGTGTGCGGGGGGGGGGGGGGGGTGGAAACCGTGTGCCCCCACTTACCCGTCCCTTCCCTCAGTCTCATCAGCAAGGAGAGAAAACCTAACCCCCTGCAGCAATGATGGGAGGAGAAGCGTATCATACACACGATCACACACAGCGTTTACTGCACCATGAGCTGGGCTTGGAGGTCACACAACTATAATACAACACCCCCCCCCCCCCCCCCCAAACCAACACCACCCCCTTCCAGCAAGAGGAACACATGCCCTGGTCGATTCCTGCACCATGCGTTGGAAGAGAGATTTGGGGAGGGGGTGGAATTGTGCTTTACAGTGTTTTATCCAAGGGAGAGACACAGTAAGCTGTTGGGGATATGTGGGGGTGGGGGGGGTGTTGTGCTATAGAGCTCTGCTGCACTGTGCACAGGGGAGAGACACGGTAAGGGGTTGGGGATATGTGGGGGTGGGGGGTGTTGTACTGTAGAGCTCTGCTGCACTGTGCACAGGGGAGAGACGGAATGCATCCATTTCACATCTTCCTCTTCTCAGATTATGTACACAAAGAGACAGGCAGAGCCCCTGTGTAGAGAGGTACCTTCCCTCCCTCCCCAAGGACTGGGAAGAGAACCAGACAAAGCTTTTGTGTGTGTGTGTGTACTCTATCCCCCTCCCTCCCTCCTCCAACCCATCTCCAGCACAAGCCCCAGAATAATGTAACTCAAGTCAGTGTCTTCGCTGTGACACAGAAACCAAAGCCCAGGGTGAGCGAGCGGTGTGATCAAATAAAGAGCATTTCAGTGAGAAAAGGCATCAGCATTCTTGTGCACAAAACAAAAGGCGGTCACGGCCAAGAACGCTTGTCAGTTTGGCTCGGTTTGGTAGCAATAGTGTCTCTCTCTGTCAGAAGGTTGTGAGCTCAAGGTCCCAAAGGGTTCTGTGCTCTGTCCTAACTAACCGTTAAAGATCCCATTACTCATATTCAAAACATAAGGTCTCCCTCTGTCCTGACTAAGAATCCTCTGGACAAATAGCCATCGTGGGACCATGCTGGCACAAATGGCTGCTATTTTTTAATGGACAAATATAGTCACTCCACTTGATAATTGCCTGCAATTGTTTTTTTTAAATGTATTGACATGATACGATCCTATGAATAAAATATCAGTTCCTTTATTGTTAACACCTTCATTCTATATCAAGTCAAAACTGAGAACAATATTACCTTTTATGGCATGCTGGGTGTTACCAGCTTCAATCGTTACTTTAAACCAAGTAAGAGAAGCACGAGCAGCGTTATCCTCACGCATCTTTTGAGAAAAGGAGACTCGACATGCAATTTATTATTCTCATCACAAAAGCCTTTGTTGCCCTTGGTGGAATCCTGTAGCTTAGTAGTTAGAGCAATCACCTCGCAAGGGAGAGGACCTGGGTTAAATTCCTGGGCAGGGCGAAACGTTAGGCATGTTTCCTTACTCCACATGCCTCTGTTTACCTAGCAGTAAGTAGGCGGATTGCTTTTCTGGGGTAATAATCCCTACAACACAAAAAAAAAGGTGAAAAAAAGTACTGTAGAGATCTCTTCAGATAATTGTAGTTTCCTTTCATTCTCTCTGTTCCGTAACTCGAAAGACTGAGTCCTGAGGTCAATTCATGTTTAAACTGACTAAGAGGTGTAGCTGCGGAACAGCATTGCTTAAGGTGAATGCTCAATAGTGTTTAAAAATAAAAGCAAAAAGGAAATGTTATCAAGGAGAAATCTTTGTCTATGAAACTTGTACCATCAGCAGAATAAAATGCATTTTTTAAACAATACTTGCAGTCACTGATATCTATGAGTGTAATTTTAGAAAGGATAGAGAGAATTTATCTTCTATCTTTTGTACTGATAAAACGACAATGTCTGTCTGCGCTTCAAGAAGGATCTCAATAACCAATTGACCTAGAAACATAATTTATACCTCATCAGAAAGGTCTTGCATATGGGAAAAAATGACATGGGCATATTTGTTTTCGGATGTCCTATCGTTCATGAGTTATGACCTAAAACGTTTTGCGTTTTTCGCAGCAGTTACACCTGGTGGCTGTGCCGGCTGACTAAGGCGCTGTGGCATCCTGCACCATAGAGCACGCATGTAGCCAAGTGGCGGTGGCAACAAAATAAAGAACACAGACAAAGCTAAGACATGGCAACAACAACAAAATCACATTTTTAAAGTGCCTTTTACGTCGGGAGGATGTCTCCCAGTGATTCTTAATTATACATTTATGTTGATCATTATAAAGATGTCTGAGCAAAAATCAAACCTTTCAAGGATAAGTAAAAATTCAAGACAAAAGAGAGAAGGCCCATTAAATGAAACTGAAGAACAAAGAACAGCGCAGCTACACTTCAATGCTGAAAGGACTGCAACAGTGCGACAAAATGAGTTGCCCACTCAAAGAACAGCATGGCCAAAATGAGTCCTCCCACAGGAGTCCTCCCAGATGAGTATAGATAAAGATGAAATGTCTGTCTTTGTGTCTTTGTGTCTTTGTGCCAACTCACTTGCTTCTCTTACTGAATTCCTCTAAATTTACAGTCTTAACTCTCGAGCAGTTTTGACAACCTCCAAATAAATACTCATAGATAAAAAACAGTGATCTATCTTAAACCAGTTAGTTCACACGGAGATGTACGAGATGACAAGTGTTGGCGAACCTTCCATTTGTTTCAGAATGATGTGTAATCCATGCTTTGGTATCCATATAGGTTTCATCGACCAACTAGTAAATCAGTTGAAGGATAGGTGCAACCAAGCCCCAATTGCTCAATTTCAGACTTTTAATGTGGGCTGGAAAGTTCAAATGTGGCACTTTGGTGAAGAATATTTTTGTTATGAACAAAAAACAGCTTTGCAACACTTTAAGCTTTTAAATATTGCAATTTTGCAGTTTGTTACCCCAAAAGTAAAGTGAAATAAGATGTATCCTTCCTTCTGTTTGATGAATATTGATAGATTGCCTTGGGCCGTCCTCCCGATGTGAAAAGCCTACACAAATGTAATTTTTATTGTATTTCGTATTTCCCTAATGCTACCTCGAACATTTGCAGAAAAGCACTATTAAACATTAAACACTTTAAACATGTTAAAGATCCGGTGGCACTATCTGAAAAGAAAAGGGAGTTTCTCCCATTGTCCTGGTTAACAATCCCCCAAATAAAATTGGTCATTCACTCCCTGGCTGTTTGTAGGACATTGCTGTTCGCAACTGGCTGTTGTGTTTCACCCAAAAAATACAGCCAATCTATTTTACTGAACCGCTTTGAGCTGTCTTGACGATGTGATAAGGTGCTATATCAAATGCAAGGATTATTTATTCATCGTATTAACTTCATTTCCTGGCGATAAGTTCTGACTATATAGTCTCCGAGCCCCAAAGGTAATCAGGCTAAAAATCCAGAATATTCCTTTATCTCATATCTCCCACCCCATCTCAGCAGCACAGAAATCATTGTGGTGTATGCCTAGCCTATTAATTCCACTTGAAACTCTCTCCAACATTTTAATGCCATTTTGAAGTTAGGGTATCAAATTTTGCACAAAATATTTTAACATGGATCTATATGAGATTAGAATAACGTTTGATTTATAATGAAACACCTTCAGTTGTAGCTCAGCATTTGATTAGCTTTGTTGACTCAAAGCTTTCAGTGATACTAAGCACAGCTCTATGGGCCTCTACTCATATAACTTAGATTACTAAGTGTCTGTTATTCTACTATAAACTCTGTCCAACACTTTAATCGAATGGGTTGTTAGGAGCTGCAGGAATGGTTGCTAGGAGGTGACGATTATTGAGCGAAGTGTTACGAATTGCATTTGATGCCTCTTCAAATCAGATCTCTGCAGCCCCTGACACCGTTGACCACTCTATCCTCATCCACCACATCTCCTCTCACCTCAACCTTCACAGTTCTGTCCTTGAATGGTTCAGATCGTACCTCTCACACCGCCTCCACTTCATCTCCACAAACGGTTTCTCCTCCTTGGTCCCGTCCTCTTCAACATCTATATGCTCCGTC